AGTGTGAGCAAGTAACTCTCATTCTAACCTCTATACCTAACTTTATGGTGACACAGGGCACACTACCCCAAAACATGGCACCCTGGCACATTGAATATCTTAAGATGAAAGAATCTAAGAAAAATAGCAGATGTAGGAAGGTCACTCTGACCTTCCCTCGGCTTCCCTTCCTCTTTCCTGAAACAGGTGATGAATGTCCTATGTGAAAGTTACCCTCTGCACCAGGAGGAAGGCAGACATTGTCATCACCAGAGACAGGGAATTTGAGGCTTGGAAATCTGTACAAGCAAACTTTGTTGAGCTAACCCTTATCTTCCTAGACACTTCTCCATCATTTACTATCCCTAGTCCAAACCTCTCTGCCTTCTCAATTCTTTACATATTTATTGTTTCTTTGTCTAAAATGTATAAGGCTTTCTACTCTGGTCACTTCTTCAGGCCTTCATTCTTCTGGGTTAAGTGTAAAAATTCAACAATATTTGTTTTGTTTTGTTTTTTAAAGACTTATTTATTTGTGAGACACAGGGAGAGAGAGAGAGGCAGAGACATAAGTAGAGGGAGAAGCAGGTTCCCTGCAGGGAGCCCGATGTGGGACTTGATCCCAAACCATAGGATCATGCCTTGTGCCAAAGGCAGATGTGCTTAACCGGTGAGCCACCCAAGTGTCCCAAGTCAACAAAATTCATATGCTTTTTTTCCCCTGTTAATTGGTCGGTTTAATTTTCAGGCTTAGCCAGCACCCTGAAAATGTCAAGGAAAATTTTTTCCTTTTCTACAGGGATATGTAGTTAAGTGTGGGGACGCTAGAATAAAGATCTGCCTGGTTCTGTCCCTTAGTAGTTATGTGACTTCAGGTGAATTAAGTAACCTTTCTTCCTCAATTCCCTCATCTGTATAATGAGGGTGATAATAACAGTACTTACCTCCTAGGTCGCTAAGAGGATTAAGTGGTCATGGCAGCATAGATTAGGGTGGACTCATCTAGGCTTCTCCAGTCAGCCTTTACTGGCAGCTGCTTTTTGTTTCCAAGATAGAGTCAACAGACAGGAAGTTGTGGGCTAAAGTAGGTTTACAACCTTTGAAGTGGGAAGTTGATAAAACAGCAAGTCAAGAAATAGAAAGGAAGGGATCTGATAGTAGAGGGGTTCTTATCTGGCATGTTGATGACGTACTAGCAAAGTACGTAGCCAGAAGTGGAATATAGAGGTATAATTAAATGCCAGGGTACAGGTTTGGGGTCTCTAGTCTCTACTCCTAAATAGCAACTTATTTCTTCACCTGGGTTCTAAACAAATTATAAAATAAAAGAGTGAAATTTGAGTCCAAAATACTTGTTATAGATAGAGGTTAAGCTAGAATATATGGTTTTGCTCATCAAACTTCAGAAATGGGAGACTTCCCCACCCAGTGCCTGGGGCAGTGCAGAACATATGCTTTCTTTGGGCAGGCTTGCTCCCACCAGAGAGCCAGCAAAGCTGGTTGGGGAGCAGATTTTGCCCTAGATTTGTCAAATCATTGTACCTGCCCAGATTCATAAGCAGAATGAGTAAGGAGATGGAGAGAGGCCCAGGGCTATACCAATTCAGGTCTTCTCACAGGAAGGAAGCATTAGGAATGAGGAAGAAGCGTATCTGGGATCATACAGGATCCAGAAGAAGAATGGTACATTTCACAGGGGGGTACAGAGATGCCCTGTGGACCACCCGCAACTCTATCTCCTTTTATGGTCAAGTTAGAGTTTAGTCTTTTTTTTTTTTCTTTAAAGAATTTATTTATTTATTCATGAGAGACACGGAGAGAGAGGCAGAGACACAGGCAGAGGGAGAAGCAGGCTCCATGCGGGGAGCCCGAGCGGGACTTGATCCCGGTAACTCTGGGATCACGCCCTGAGCCGAAGGCAGACACTCAACCGCTGAGCCACCTAGGAGTCCCAGTTAGAGTTTAGTCTTATTCTCCTGGATAAGTTTGAAGTTTCAGAGTGTGAGAAAGTTATCTTTAGTGAACATTGACCATTAACTTCTGTTTTCTCCTACTGACTTTGGAGAACTGATAGTGCATTTCTTGTACTCAGAGGTACAGATATTGCTAAGGGCCCAAAGGCCTCAGTCCCACTGTTGTATTCATTAGACTGTTCCCAGAGCCTACTGAAAATAAATCTGTGAGACTCTGAGAAGCCTTGTTAGTCTGGGGAAACCGAATTTAATTCAGTGAACTGTTTTATTGAATTGCTTTTCAATCAGGCTTTCCTTCTTTTCTTTCTTTCTTTCTTTCTTTCTTTCTTTCTTTCTTTCTTTCTTTCTTTCTTTCTTTCTTTCTTTTTCTTTTCTTTCTTCCTTTCTTTTTTTTAAAGATTTTATTCATTTATTTATTGGAGAGAGAGAGAGAGAGAGAGAGAGAGAGAGAGAGACTGAGTAGGGAGGGGCATAGCGGGAGAGAGGACAAGCAGATTCCGAGCTGAGCATGAAGTCCAATGCGGGGCTCGACTCCACAACTCTGAGATCATGATCTGAGCAGAAACCAAGAGTTGGATGCTTAACCAACTGAGCCAGCCAGATGTTTCTCAATTAGGTTTCTTTCTGTTCCTGCCTTCAAAGAGTATATAACTTAGAAGAATGCAAAAAAATAATCACAAAGAGTTTTTCTTGTCTGGGGATTTGTTACCTGAATCTCTCATGTTACACTCTTAAACTTACTTTATGTTTCTTTATGGAACTTATCACTATCCAGCACTTTATTGTTTATTTTGTGTCTCTCATATTTGATTATAAATTCCATGAAGCCATGGACTTTCTTTTTAGTCACTGCCATAGCATTATGCTCTAGAATAGTGCTTGGAACATAGTAGATGCCCAACAGATATTTGTTGAATGAATTAATGAATTACCTGACCACTTAAAAGTTTATTTTCTCTCAAACACATATACTTACTCAACAGGAGAGTCTACCCTGGGTATCATTTTGCATCAATGTCTTTGTGGTCATCTAATGATCATCTGATATTGTATACCATACAACGCAAAATACGTAATAGCAAGTGAAATGGCAAAGCCTTCAAAATAAGAAGGACTTCATGTAGTTGATAAAGACAATATGCAAGAACAGCTAAGCCATTGGCAAATCTGAATTTAGCAGAGTTAAATCAGTATGAGATTTTAAGAACAAATAGAGATAATTGACAAGCATAATGACAAGACAGGAGTTTCAAAAGAGAAACTGCCATGCCATGGCAGTTAGGGCAGCCCGGGTGGCTCAGGGGTTTAGGCTTGCCTTCGGCGCAGGGCGTGATCCTGAAGACTGGGGATCGAGTCCCACATCAGGCTTCCTGCATGGAGCCTGCTTCTCCCTCTGCCTGTGTCTCTGCCTCTCTCTCTCTCTCTCTCTCTCTGTGTCTCTCATGAATAAATAAAATCTTAAAAAAAAAACCCAAAAGAGAATGATTTAAATGTAAAAGAATTAAGAGTTCCTTGGTAAGATCAATGAAAACTGGAAATTTTTACAAAATGACCAATCGTGTAATTTTGCTTTGAAAGTCAAACATGAGGTCAAGAATGTTATGAGAATGTATGAGATAGAAGATGTTCTATCTTGCTGTTACATAAATTGTCACACAGCTAGGCAATTTTTGTTAGTACATAGTTACAATTATAATAAAAATTTGGTTAAATAAAAGACTAAGAAAATTTATTTTTATAATTTCTGGTTTTATTTCTCAAGTTCATGTCTTGATAAAACCCAAATACTACTGCTGCTATTTACTATGAAATTTTGATTCCCATTTAAAATGATTTATCTGCAGTGACTTTTTCATGACACATTTGTTCTTCAAGAACTGGGGTCATGGGATGTGATAAGCACAGTATTTAGAAATCTATTCAAGTTGTAAAGAGGAGGTATCCAGCTTGGAGCTTTATTTATAAGCAAATTAAAGTGGGAAGAAGTGAATGGAGAAGTTCTTTCTCAAGGCAACTGGTGAGGCAGGTTGGACATTAGGATCGCATATATTTGGCTTCAAATCTTTGTTCTGTCTCCTATTTGCTCTGTGATTTGGGGAAACTTACTTCTCTGAATTTGATTTCTCATCTAAAAATTAATACATGGAAAATCGCAACATTACATAATATAATGAGATGTCTTTTAACAAAATGGGAAAGCTCTGCTTTCCTCTTCAAGAACTTGGCTATAGATGACTTAAATATGACATTGCTTCGGTTGGTCAATTTTAGTTGGTTTCGAGGATTTGGAATTAGGTGCCCTTCTACTGGGTGATGTTGTTAGTGAAAATCTAGACATATCAACAAGTTATGTCAGGAGGTCCATTCTTAATGATTGAGAACAATTCCTTCTTTACTGATGTTTACCTGCTGCGTTCTGGAGGGCCCATCTGAATAGCACTTGGGTGGTGTGGTGGTGGCGGCAGCTATGGTGGTGGCAATAGGCCTCGGGGATTTGGTGAGGATCACAAGGACAAGAGAGTGATCCTAGTTGGAAAGTACTATGAGAGAATTCATGGAGACCAAAGGCCACACTTTCTGATGAGGCAAGAGGGAAAAGAGCTAGGCAATGGATTTCAAGTCCTATAACTCAGAACACTGACAATGTCCTCAGACTCTTCAGCTATTAATAGTCAAATTACTTTGTGTCTAACATCCTATATTGTCTGTGTACTTTTAAAGTAGGTACCTTTATTACTTTTCTCCTCATTTTCTGGATGAGGATACTGAGGCTCAGAGGCTTACTTGGCCAAGCCCTCGCAGCTAGTGCAGAACTGAGATTATAATCCAGGTCAAATTCTAGAGTTAGTGCTTTCAACCAGTACACATGGCTCCCAGTTACTGTGTAGTTATATTTACTACAATTGCCATACGGATTTCTTGCTTGTTGGTGAACCATCCTTGTTCATTTGCATGACTGAGGTAATCTAAGGAAATTTATCATGTTCGCAGGAGAAAGAATGTGGGTAGAAGAGCACAGACAAGAAATGTCAGCTGGTGAGGCCACTGTTAAATCAGCAAACATTTATTTAACAATACTTTGCATCAGGCAGTGTTTTAGCTGAACAAGATATGGTTTTTCTCAGAAACTCACCATTCGTTAGGAGATAGATTCAAAAAGAATATTATAGTTGATCCTTAAACAATGCACCCCTGCACAGCCAAAAAACTTCTGACTTCCCCCAAATTTAACAATACTACTATACCAATAACCTACTGTTGATCGGAAGACTTACTGATAAAGTAGTCAATTAACATATATTTTGTGTGTTATTTGTATGATGGACTGTATTCTTACAATAAGGTCAGCTAGAGAAAAGAAAATATTATGGAAATCATAAGGAAGAGAAAATACATTTATGGGACTCTGCTGCATTTATTACAAAAAAAAATCCAAGTATAAATAGGCGCATTCAGTTCACACCCATGATGTTCAAGGGTCAACTATACACTACAGTGACAAAAGGGCAATGAAAAGCAGTACACGAAATGCGGTCATTACAAAGTGGGAATCAACTCTGTTCTGAGGATTCAGGGAAGGCTTCATAGAGGGAGATAATTGAGCTCTCTCTTGAAAGACTTGGTGTTGGAGTTCCCACTGGAGGCAATAGCTTGTGCCAAAATGAGGAGATATGGTGCAGTTCAGAGGTCAGTAACACAGGCTGGTAGGTTTGAAGTAGGGCAGGACAGGAGTCTGGTGATCAGGCAAATGGGCTCGGATCAAGAAGGGTCTCTTTTTCTAGGCTAAGGAATTTGGACCATTATCTCTAATCAAAGGAGAAATTTTCAAGGATTTTCAACTGGAAAGTAATATGTCTGTACTGGATCCTTTTCATCTACTCTTCCATATATACTCTCCATCATCTTTGCTCTGTCTCTACTTTAGGAGGCTGATCGCTGTGATGACAGCAGTCTGTGTTAGTTTCCTAGGATTGCCATCACAAGGTACCACATACCAGGCGGGTTATTTGTTCACAGTTTTGGAGGCTAGGAGTCTGGAATCCAGGTGTCAGCAGGGTTGGTTCCCTCTGAAGTTTCTGAGGCAGAATCTGTTCATGCCTCTCCCCTATCTTCCAGCTTGTGCTTGCTGGGTGATCCTTGGCTTGACTCCAACAAACTTCCTAATTTGAATGTCACAATCTTATTCCTACCAAGATCTTGATGGAAACAGTGACAATATTATTTTAGAATAATTGCTCAGGTAGCAGAGTAGAATATGGATTGGAAAAGGAGGCAAGAAAGGGGACATTGAGATCAGAGAGGAAGAAAGTATAATAATTCAGATAAGAGATCTTGATTGGACCTGAACTTTGATGATAGCAAATTAAGGCAGAGAGGAGAGGAGGGATGCATGAAATATCTGGAGATAGAATTAATGTGGCTAGGAGAACTCTTGTAATTAATCAGATTCATCCTCACCAAATACTAATTAGATAAGGGGAAATTCTAACCTGTAGATGATCTCGCACCAATTTTAAAAAAAGTGAAGATTTATATATCAACAGAAGAGAGGCAAGTAGGATAGGTACTCCGCCAAGTTTTAAGTAATGTGACATGCAGGAAGGCTTGGTGGAATCAGGAATAGTTCGAGTTTTTAAGGGTTTCAGTGTCCTGTCCCACTGAGTCAGGATGGCATTTCTGGCTCCATCCCATTTTCCAGGGCCCAGGAGGCGGTACTGGTAAGGAGTACATGGTCCAAAGAAAACTTCCCAAGCTAGTCTGGGATCCTTGAGGAACAGAATTGGGACACTGGGCTTTGTGCCTATGCAGGCAGCAAGGTCATCCATGTATGGAATGTACTCAAGTTTGTCTTTAGTGATGTCTTTCATCACACCCCTGAGAGGGAAAAAGATGGTTTATTTTTCAGTTTCAAGTTATAAGTCACCCTTTTTCCCACCATTTTGTTTCTTTTTATTGAGGTCAAATCATCTTTGAGAATGTTTTTCTATGTTGCAAAGAAAAAAATAAGAGGAGTTTACCTACAAAGGGTATTTGTGAGAGTAATGAATTTATTTATTTTTTATTTTATTTTTAAAGATTCTTTAAAAATGTATTTATGCTCACATTCTTTGGCCTTTCATTTTTTTAAGAGATTTTATTTATTTATTCATAGAGACACACACACACACACACAGGCAGAGATACAGGCAGAGGGAGAAGCAGGTTCCTCGCAGGGAGCCCTCGCCTGGACCCTGGATTACTCCCTCAGCCAAAGGTAGACACTCAACTGCTGAGCTACCTAGGCATCCCAGTAATGAATTTTTTTAAAGGGGACAGTAAAAGGCGGCAATTGGAAGGGGAGCTCTAGATAGTGGTTTAGGTTCTTGAATTTGATATGAGGGTAAAAATCTGATCAGTCCAAATACAAGTTGTTGAATAAAGGAATGTGATCAGAAAGCATCACATGTATGGCCCCTAAGTTATTTTTATTGAAGTTAATTGTGAGTTGAGAGGACCATACGTGGTGTACCAGCACTGAATATGTACAGATATGAGTATAGTGTATATGGAAGCTTTATTCCTACTCATTTCTGTTGTTAGTCAACTTTCATGATGTTCCAATGTCATTCATTCACTTGTTCATTTATATATTCCTTCAATAAATAAATATTAAGTGTCTATCACGTAACAAGCATCACCCTAGGTGAATAAAATAAAGGCCTTGCTGTCAAGGAGCTTACATTCTAGTGAGAAAATTAACAGGCTATAAAGCTCCCCGCCCTGGCCAAATAGATAGGTGATAAATCAGGTGGTAACAGGTATTATTAGAGAATATAAAGGAAGGTGGGGGATGATGCAATGAAGGGACTTGGTGGACTGCCATATTTAAACACTGTTGTCAGATAAGGCTTCTCTCTTATGAGGTGATATTTGACAGAGGGAGCCTGCAGGTATCTGGTGGGGAGAATATTCCAGGCAGAGGGAATAGTGAGTGCAAAGGTTCTGAAGGGCTGTGCTTGGCATGCTTGAGGACCAGGGAGGAGGCTGGAGTGACTACAGCAGTATGGGTGAGGTGGGACAGCAGGAGACAGTGAGGACAGAGAGATAGCTCGTTGCTCTGGAGGGCTGCAGAGTTGCAGGGAAGTTTCTGGGAGTGAAGCAATCAGAGGATTCTGAACAGAAGAACGATGTGGTGTTTGTTGCTCACTCCTGCTGAAGTGTCAAGATGCGACTGCGGAACAGCAGAGTGAAAGCAGGGAGACCGGATAAGGGGTGACAGCAAGTATCCAAGTGAGAGATGATAGTGGCTTGGTCTGGGGTAGCTGTGGGGGTAGTTAGAAGGGTCTGGATTCTGGATTTGTTTGAAGGTAGGAGCTGACAGTATTTGATGACGTGGGGTCTGAGAGAAAAAGGGGAGAAAAAGATCATTCTAGGGTTTTTGATGGACCAATTGGAATAAATAGCCAGTGACTAAGAAGGGGAGAAGTCTAGAGCAGCCCATGTGCAGGATGGGTAGGCAGGTGATGGCAGTTGAGCATTAGTTTTTAGATATATTCAATTTGAGATACTTAAGTGGTAGCCAAGTAGAGATATCTAGAGGGACGTGCATTTAGGGCTCTGGAATTCCGGGGAGAGAGATGGAAGCCATGACACTATGATGGCATTTAAAGCCACAGGCCTGGATGAGGCCACCTGAGAGTGAGTGTTAATAGACGTGAGAAGAGGGAGAAGAGGTCTGAGGATGAAGGTTGGGGTTCACCAACTGTTTGGAGTGAGGAAGAGGTGACACCACTGAATGAAGAGACAGAGCAGCCTGAGAGGCAAGAGAACAAAGATACAGTGGAACTCCAGGGGCCAAGTGAACAAGATTGCCATCTGTTGGGGGCTGGGCTCTGTGTTCTGCTGAGGGGATGTGGCGCCCCCACTGACACATCTAAGGCTGCAAATCTAGTTGGTACAAGAGTTGGATTAAAAGCATATCCTTAGGGCACCTGGGTGGCTCAGTTGGTTAAGTGTCTGCCTTTGGCTTTGATCATGATCCTGGAGTCCCAGGATCGAGCCCCGGTTTGAGCCCCGGATTGGGCTTCCTACTCAGTGGGCAGCCTGCTGCTGCCTCTGCTTGTGCTCTCTCTCTGTCAAATAAATAAATAAAATCTTTTTTTTTTTTTTTTTTAAGCATATTCTTGGGACGCCTGGGTGGCTCAGTGGTTGAGCGTCTGCCTTTGGCTCAGGGCATCATCCCTGAGTCCTGGGATCAAGTCCCACATTGGGCTCCCTGCATGAAGCCTGCTTTTCCCTCTGCCTGTGTCTCTGCCTCTTTTTCTGTGTCTCTCATGAATAAAGATATAAAATCTTTAAAAAAAAGCATATTCTTCTGACTCTAGTGCAGTTATATTCTAAAAACAAAAAAGCATATTCTTCTGACTCTAGTGCAGTTATATCCAAGCTACCATGGTGCTTCTCTAGGAATGGCTCTTATATTGAGAATGTGCGTGTGTGTGTGTGTGTGTGTGTATTTATAAGGAAATACATTAGGTTTTCTTGGAATAAGCAGCATGTTATGTCATACCGTTTTATGAGTTGCTCCTTTTTAGTAGCCTTAGCCATCAATTTTTGGGTTGGAGGTATCTTACAGAGTCCTGTGTGAAAAATTGGAAACACATTAACATCACACATGCCTTTCCCTTTGAGCTCTCCTTCCCCTCATTTCTGGCCCTCCACTATCCCATCATTAGGACATGTAATAGTCAAAGCTAGACTGGAATTACAGGTCATCTCTGGAGGCAAAGTCCTCCTCCAAACCCACTTAGCCAGCATACTATTCTACTGCCAGAATGATGAGGATGGATATTTCATGGCCCAGCCCTCGGCCTGCACTGGCCCATTGGTCATCAGCACCTGCTCCAGCTCATTTATATACTCGCACATTACATATATTCATATATAATATTATTTGTGTTATATGGTTTGTATATCCCTCTTTGTATTTGTATCTATGCCATTATTTGGTTAAATGTAAATACTAAAAATGAGCTCATTTTTATAACCCTGCTTTGATATGTCTTTACTTTTGTTACACCAGAAGCCTCAAGGGTGGAAACACCTGATGGTCCCTCAGCCTCACGGAGGCTCTGAGTGGTGGTGAGGATGTGCTCAGTGTCAGTCTCTCACCTAGATGGTTTCAGGTGTGGGCTTTGCTCTTTTGGCTAGGAGCCAAGTACAGCCCCCAGAGGGTGGGGTTACTATGTACTTGAGATAGGTCTGACTTAGCTCTGTAGCGTACTTGCCACCAGCATCACTTTATCCTGTAGAAAGTGGGCAAGACTTTACTAGTAGTTCCTGGATTGCGTCCAGAGGCTTTCTGGAGAAGCATGTAATTACTCCTGTGGTGTGATTTAATCGAGTTTCATTTTGTCAGCTCTATCATTCTGATAAGGATTTTTGAGCTTATTATGAAACACTTAAAAAACCCCCACTGGGTTCTTAAGAGTCTTCTATGATTTTAATATAATCAGATAATGTTGTGAAAGCACTTGAATTGGCCTTAAAGAAATAAAAATTTGTGATCATTTAATGGAATGTGTGGAATTTGTTGTCTATTACATTTGTACAGTGTGATAGAAGTTGACACTCCTTAGTACTGTGTTATATACTATTTATAAATTATTGGTGATTGTTTTTATTCATTAAGGACACAGCTCAAGGACAGCTGATTGGCTCAACTCTGATTGCTCTTTATATTTAAAAAATTATACAAGTGCAATTCTTTAAAATGCTTACTAATGTGAAACTTGCCCTGCTTTAGAGAGGTATGATAATAAGAGAGAAGAATGACAGCTGTCAACTAATAGCCTTCACTATGTGCCAAGCATGGTGCTAAGTGCTTGGCAGACATCCATCTAACAAAATCCTTGTGAAAGAGGTTTTATTAGCCCTATTTTACAGATGAAGGGGCTGAGATTCAGAGAGGTCCTCACAAAGCTATGAGTTTTTTTTTTTAAGATTTTATTTAAATAAATAAAGAGACACATGAGAGACAGAGGCAGAGACACAGGCAGAGAGAGAAGCAGGCTCCATGCAGGGAGCCTTATGTGGGACTCAGTCCCTGGACCCCAGGATCACGCCCTGTGCTGAAGGCAGACGCTCAACCGCTGAGCCACGCAGGCATCCCAAATCTATGGGTTTTTAGAGTTGGGATTGGACCCCCGTAGCTCTGACTCCTTTATTTGCACTCTTACTTTTTTGTTTAAAAATTTTATTTATTTATTCATGAGAGACACGGAGAAAGAGAGAGAGGCAGAGACACAGGGAGAGGGAGAAGCAGGATCCATGCAGGAAACCCGATGTGGGACTTGATCCCGGGACTCCAGGATCACGCCCTGAGCTGAAGGCAGATGCCTAACCACTGAGCCACTCAGGCATCCCAATCATTTGTACTCTTACAGTAAAAACTGACAGCAGTCTCCAGAGTCTCTAAAACTTATTTTATAGGCATTTCTCAAAGGTTACCATCTCCCCAGAACTCAAATTTATTCACAGTATGCATTATTCCAATACCTTGCTTTGGAAGAGGTGCAAAATTCTACTTCTAGAAATAAATGATAAGATTTAGAAGTAAATCAACCAGACTAGAGTAGAGTAGGACAGAGGATCCCGAAGCTTCCAATAATTTCGGTTAATCTGAGAAATGTGATTATATATCTTGTCCAAATTTATTCCATCCATAGAATCAAAACCTTTTCCCCACTCTGTCACGTTAGTGATACAAGCACACCCATGATAATATTACCCATAGATGAAGTTAGGTAGCTATTAGACTTTTCTGATATTTTATGTTACTCTAGTTCACATCTGTTCCATTTTGGATAAATTGCAAGGCACTAATTTGAAAACTCAGTTGATCGTGTAGGGCTTTAAATAGAGTCAAGTACCTTTGAATACTCTCGTGGCCCATCGTGCTTGGAGCTCTGTGCCTGCTAAGATGGATCCTTTAAGGCTGATGAGGCCAATGATAGCAAGTGTTGCTCTCTCTAGGTTTGAAGGAAACACTTGCTTGTACAGGAATATCTTCTTTGTGCAAAGGCTTTTAAGGGGTTCTTCGAGAAAGGGAAAAGAAAATGTGTATCCTGTAGCAAAGATCACAGTATCGATGTTTTCTTCCACTGTTCCATCTTCAAAGACAGCAGAGGTCTCTGTAAACTCCTTCACGCTGGTTTTCATAGTGACTGTCCCACAGAGGATGCAGGTTGGCAGCTCATCGTTCACAATGATCTTTCTTGCCCTTTGACACAGAAGAGAAAATTATTCATTGTAGTTATTTATATCTGTGACACACTTGAGCAAACTATTTCTTTGGTTAATTCAAGGAAACTATCTGCCAAGTTAAGGGAGTGAACTGACCAATGTCAAGTTCAAAGGAGCCTATCCCACTTAGGGTTGCAATGACATATTTTGTTCTCCCGTTTCTAAGAGAAGGCATGTGGACAATGTTTAAACCTGCTTGGGATTTAAAATATGCTCTCGAATTAATTTCTGGAGCAATGCTTTTCTTGAAGTGTCAGGATCGAGTATGCAACAATCCATTTAAGAATCAGTTTTTAGTCTCATATCACCGAGGCCTCAAATGATTGACATTAGGAAAGGGGAGGTTACCAAGAAACTTTCTGGGTTAAAAAAAATCTGCATCAGTTTATGCTGGTAAATATTTTCATTGGGAACATCATTCTACTTAATCACAGCAGACACAATGTCTTTATAAAATTGATGTATTGGGGTGCCTGGTTGGCTCAATCAGTTAAGTGACTGACTCTTGATTTTGGCTCATGCCATGATCCCAGGGTCCTGTGATTCGCCTCACATGGGGCCTTGAACTTGGTGTAGAGTCTGCTGGGGATTTTTTCTCTCCCTTTCCCTTTATCCTCCTCCCCCCAGTCTTACCCCCCCCACCGCCCCTGCTCACACGTGTGTGCACACTCTGTCTCACTCTCTAAAAATAAAACATAAATAAATTGACATATCAAATCATCCATTGCCATTAATTTTCTTTATAAGGTTAAAGCGAGCTGTCTTCCCAAAGAGAAATATTTGGGTCAAGCATAAAATAAAAGCACATTTAATGACCTTACGTTCATTTCAAAGGTCTTCTTTTTCTTGCCATTTGCAACCCTATATAGATGTATATTAAAGTATGTAATTCTAGAAATCCCTATTGGAAATGCATCCTCTAATCATTCAGCCAGAGACAACATTTATTAAAAGTTAGCTGGTCATCTGCAACTTGTGATGCTGCAAATATTCCATTTATAGATGGCAGCCATTCCAAGATTCCTCAAAGCCAATTTTAATTTCCTGATTGTATTTTGTTTAAGATTTTATTTTATTTATTTATTCATGAGAGACACACAGAGAGAGACAGAGACACAGGCAGAGGGAGAAGCAGGCTTCTCGCAGGGAGCCCGACGTGGGACTCGATCCTGGGACCGGAATCACGCCCTGAGCTGAAAGCAGACGCTCAACTGCTGAGCCACCCAGGTGTCCCTAATTTCCTGATTTTCAAGCTAGAAATGAAAAGTTTTTATACTTCATTTTCTTCTAGTCTAATGAATTACTGCTTTTGTTACCAGAGAATATTCCCATTTCAAGAACTGCTGTGCTACCTGATGGACATTGTCTTAAGGAGCTAAGCCCAGAACAGAATAAACAAAGGCAGCATAATAAAAATATTGATTCAATAATTTCGCCATTAAATAAAAAAAAATTAAGTACCCCTTTGTAATACTTAATCCATAATGCTCATGGTTAAATCTTTTATTCATTTTCTTCTCTTGAATCCAGTTTAGTACACATGAGGGCAGAACTTGTGCAATAAAATTAAGGCATCTTCTTGTAACCACCATATTATATGGGTAGCCCCATTCTGAAGAGCGGCAGATAACCCAGGCACCGGTTCTGGTACTGAGAAGTACCTAAAAAGTAAGGAAGGATAAATATATGTACATCATTTTGTAGTATTTTCCCTTGGTGTTTCAGATAGTCTTATAACATCTGTCCTTTTTTTAAAAAGTTTTTTATTTTAATTCCAATTAGTTAACATACAGTGCTATAGTAGTTTCAGGTGTACAATATAGTGATTCAAAACTTCCATAGATCAACTGGTGCTCATCACAAGTGCCCTCCTTAATACCCATCACCGATTTCACCCATCCCTGCACCCACCTCCCCTCTGGTATCATCAGTTTGTTATCTATAATGAAGAGTCGGTTTCTTGATTTGTCTCACTTTCTCTCTCTTATTTTTTTCCTTTGCTTGTTTATTTTGTTTCTTGAATTCCACATATGAGTGAAATCATATAGTATTTGACTTTTTCTGACTTATTTCGCTTAACATAATACTATCTAGCTCCATCCACATCGTCACAGATGGCAAGATTTCATTCATAACATCTGTTCTTAACTGGTAAATGTGTGCATCCATCAATAAATGACTGTTTCTGTTGTTGCCATTGTTTTTGTAAATCACTTTTATCTGATCTATATATCTGTTAAGTATTTTTATCATGTTCAGTATAAAAATTATAGTACTAGTATATTTGCACTACTCATCTGGCAATTTTTTGCATATAAATAATATAGAACTTAAAGTGATGTCTTGAGAAAGCAATTTTAACTGAGTTAAATAAAAATCTGTTCTTTCCAAATCTAATCATTGTCCTATAATTTATGTTAAAGTGGAACAGATTTCTAATTTGTGAATCTATGCTTGGGCTTTCTGAAATCATCACGTACACTTTGTGGACAAAGTAAAGCTTGCTTTTATTTTAAAGCAAATATGTTCAGAAAACAACTTCCCTTTTCTATCTTTATATGGAGGTTTTGCCAGAAATGCAAAGGGAGAGTGTGAAAGAAAGATAATTGGTTTGGGTGGAATAATTTGTCCATTTGGTCTTGTTTCTGAAACAGTACCTCTGAAAAATGCCTAGTGGTCTGACATCCATACAGTTTCCTAAACCCCTCTTGGAGATGGTTCAATCTCATCACATGTGGATTTTTTTTCACTCATGCTGTGTCCACATGATTTAGCAGTTGGCCTATGTGTTTTGTAATCTTGTGTACCTCTCTCCAGCCACCAGAAATGGTGATGGGGTGAGGGTGTGGATTCCCCTGGTGTACCTGAGCTGCCGTTCGACTGAGCTCCACTGCAACATCCCCTCCAGTGTTTCCAAGACCGATCACTAACACACGTTTGCCTTGAAAGCCTTCTGGGCTCCTATACTCCTGACTGTGCAGGATCTGGCCTGTAAAATTATGAATACCTGAGGGGAAGGAGGGATCAGAAAATCAGAAGTATCTAGAGTTATAATTCCCTAGGATGCAGGCATAGCATCTGTAGGAAAAGGGAAGTTCCAGAAATATGTCAGCCTTTTTGCTCTCGCTGCTAATTGCAGGAAGTAGAAACAGCACATCATCTCCTTCTCCACTGGATTTTGTGAGCCCAGACACAGATTTAGTACAGCCTGCAGGAGATTTAGGAGTACAGGAGAACTTATGTTCCATATGAGTGCTCCCTTTTAAGGTAATTACTTGGGAGAAATGAAGCTTAGTGCAGACAATAACAAACATCTCATACATGACCACGAACATCTTAAGCAAGAAGTAGATTATTGATGCATGTTATTTTACCCAACAGATACAGTCTATGGGAATATGGTCTTTGTATATAACATATTTACAAATTGAATTCTGGTTCAATGACCATTTTCCACAAAAGAAATTTTGTGGCAAGTTCTCCTGAACATAGTAATATTATTACTATTAATATTTAAAATACTATTAATAATTAGTAATTATTTTTTGTGGTTTAGGCTTGCTATTTATACTTAATGCTTATTTTACTTTATTATATGCTTAATGCTTTATTATACTGTATGCTTATTTATACTCTATTCTTACATTATTTATATTTGTGTTACTGATTGATCTTCCAAGTTCCTAACACTCTGCTAATAGAAGTATCCCCATTTTAAAAAAATATTTTACTCATTTGAGAGAGAGAGAGAAGTGAGGAGAGAGAACATGAGTAGGGGGAAGGGCAGAAGGGAGAGGGAGAAGCAGGCTCCCTGCTCAGCAGGGAGCCCAATGCGGGGCTCCATCCCAGGACCTCAGGATCGTGACCTGAGCTGAAGGCAGATGCTTAACCGATTGAGCCACCCAAGTGCCCCTGTAAGTATTACTATTATGGTATGTATATATATGAGAAGGGCTCTCAAATATTTCTTCTCTTGATTTATTTTTGGTAACTATCTCCTTGGCATCTATAAAAGACGTAAATCATGGATTCATATAAGTGAAGACCAGTAGTAACAGAGTAAGTAGAGGTGTTTCCAGTGGCAGCTGTGGGAATTATGAGGTGGCAGAGGGAACAGGAGTGATGGGAACAGTGACCGTCAGACCCACAGATGGGTGAGATGACACTCTGACAAGGAATCTGAAAGGGAAGCTCTGCAGTTTAGAGGGTTTGACAATCTCTCACTTCAATACTTCAAGTGCTTCTGAAATTTTAAAATAAAGAGATGAAACTAGGAGTGCCTGGGTGGCATAGTTGGCTAAGCATCCAATTCTTGGTTTCAGCTCACGTTGTGATCTCAGGGTCATGAGATTGAGCCCCGCATCAGACTCTGTACTTGGTGGGGAGTGTAAGACTCTGTGTCCCTCTGCTCCTTCCCCCCCCACTAAAATAAATAGAAATAAATCTTAAGAAAAAAATGAAACCACCTCCCAGAATACATTATTCTTCTATCATGCAGTGGTTGATCGATTCATTTACTCAATAGCATTTATTGCATATGTAATATGTGTAACAATATTTTAATTGGAGTCTTTGCTTCCTGAGAACCCCAAAGCTGGAAACTGAATACAATGGTGGCCATATTCCAAGGGAGGTGTTAAACCCACTGTGCAGAATTTGCAGAGAATGTGTATGCAGACCGGTTTTAGGATCCCTAGCCCCTCACTCACTTTTGGGGATTGGAGTTGAAGTGGCCAGGAGTTGGAAATTGAAGACTTTCATGAAAGAACTTAAAGTGCTGTGACATTTTTATGTCCCCTGGATATGGAGGCAGGTTTGAGGGCTGCAAGGAGATCACTGTGAGATCTTGACCCTTGGGAGTCTCTGAAGCGTGGGCCCTAGTGTTTGACCCAAGCTTGACAGCCTGTGGCTGCAACTGCCAGCAAGGGGTACTGGCTGCCCTGGTAGCAAGTTTTTCATCTCCTGTTGACAGGATGAGATGCATATTTCATGTGCACCAGATGAAAGCCAGGTAGGAGAGAGCCTGGCTGATGCCAATTTAAAGGGACTTTGCAGAAGACAGGCATCTGCCTAGGCTCTGAGACTTGAAAGACAGTCTGTGTGGAGATGACAGGGGAAGAACTAGGTACATTGCCAGCCTGAGGGGGCGTGGCCTATGCCCAGGGGTTGCACTGAGAGATCCCTTCATGGAGCACCTCTCTGAAGCAGAACCCATGAAAGCACCCCACAGAACATCAATCTTAGGCACCCCCAAGGCTAGAGAAAACTAGTATCTGATTGGTGCAGGTCAAGAAAGAGCTTTCCTGTCCACTATGTCTTCTGGTCCTTTCCCTGACTCCGCTTCTGGAAAGGTCAGAGACTGAAGACTGCTGCAGACTGCAGCTGGTGGGTGATGGATGCGGAGGAAAGAAAAACTGGGAGAGGAAGGGAGAAGCTGGGCCAGGGGGGAAACTTCACCATTACATGTAAGTTTTGATTACTGCACGGGGAAGGACATTTTAGTTATGCAAATGAGAATTTTTTGGTGATTTTAAAGTGATCAGAGGACTTTTCATTATCTGACGGTGAGCAGAAAAGCAGTAGGGATATCCCGAGATTGCAAGTAGGGGCAGAGGAAGAACAAAGCCCCACAGATCAGGTCTGCAGGGGCATTGCAAGAAAACAATGCAGTTGGTGGGGCATGTGGGTGGCTCAGTGGGTTAAGCCTCTGCCTCTTGGTTTTGGCTCGGGTCATGATCCTAGAGGTCCCTATTGGGCTCCGTTCTGGCCATGAAGCCTGCTTAAGATTCTCTCTCTCCTTCTTCCTTTGCTCCTTGCCCCCACCCCCAGGTGTCTCTCTAAAATATATAAGTAAATCTTTTTTAAAAATGCAGTAAGTAAAAAAAAAAATGCAGTAAGTAAATAAATAACTGTACCTTACAGGATCTGGTCTTTCTTTACCCCGAGGTGCTGTTTTGAGTTTAGGGCCTATGAGGATAAAAAGTAGTTTCTACCTTCAGGGAGTTCATCCTCTAATGAGGAAGAGATAACTAGACAGCAGCTAACTAGCATTTATTCAGTCCCCTTGTTTTTTTAAGGATTTTATTTATTCATGAGAGATGCAGAGAGAGGCAGAGACATAGGCAGAGGGAGAAGCAGGCTCCCTGAGGGGAGTCTGATGTAGGACTTGATTCCAGGACTCTGGGATCACGACTTGAGCCAAAGGCAGATGCTCAACCACTGAGCCACCCAGCTGCCCCTATTCAGCCCTTCTTTTACAAGTCCAAGGCACTTGTCTAAGGACTTTATACATATTAATTTAAACCTCACAACCCCAGAGGGTGGATAATTTTATTATTCAACTTTACTGAGAGTGAGGCACAGAAAGGATATGTAACTTGCCCATGGTCATATAGCACGTAGCAGAGTCTGGACAGGAACTGGATCCTCTGACTCTGGAGCTCAGCTGTCAAGCATGATACTATACTGCCTCCTAGATCAGGAGTTGTTAGGATGGTTCCAATGAGGCATCTGACCTGGATTGAGCCTGGAAGGCATGCAGGAGGAGGTGATTTTTTTTTTTTAAGAACGACATTTGAAGGATAATTAAGAATTCAAGAAGGGATGCAATGACGGTTCCGAGAAGGGGAATCAATACATGTGTTGGCTGCATTAGGGACTCGAGCTTTAAGCTATTTACTGAGGTTTCGCTGGAGAGAAGCTTCTGGAGGGCTCAACCTTGGTTCACAGATACTACCTAACACAATGCTTTGCAAATGATAGGTTCTCTGTAATTGCATATTTGAGCGGGGGACCCTGCTCAAAAAACGTAGTATCCATAGTTAGTTTTGAGTCAATGATTATGTCGACAATGCAGTGCCAAAAAAGAAAAAAAAAAGGAATCTGGTAAATCATCACTACTAATTCATGAAAAAAAGGAAAAGACAATTCATATACATAAAAATAAGGTGATGTGGATGAGCTTTCAACTGCCAAATAGTGGTGGCGACACCTTGTAGAAAAACATCCTTTTCTATGCATTTGGTTTTTGATAGATAGGGTAGAATGGCCCAGATATTACTATATAAAGAAGAGTTATGTTCCCAAGCAAAACATTCATGTTCAACATTCGTCTTAAAACTACTTGTGAAAGACACATGGTGATTAGTGAAAGGAGAAAAGGCTTCTTAAAAAGAGCAAATCTTAGCCAGATGTCGGAGGGGCTCTGATAGCATTTTAAATCATTACCAAACAGCTGTGGCTCTCTTGCACACTGGCGTAAGTAAAGATTGACAGAAATTAATGTATTTATTCCCAACTGTTCAGATTTTGGCCAGGGCTTTGTCTTCCAATGCCTTGCCATTTCCTTGAGGAAATTGTATGGCTACTTGATGTTATTTTTTTGGACTGCTGTCATGTTTGAACTATTTATCACTGAAGGAGTTCAGGACCTGCTACACAAAATACGCCGCTTTGATATATTGATTATTTTCAGGCGAAGGCACTTGAAAAACAGCAAAGGCAAGAAGAGGCTTTCTCTAAACTCTCCTCACCTGCCTCAAGGCAAGTCCTCCAAAAGGAACTCTGTGGTCATAAATCTCCTTTCTGGCAGTTTCACTAACCAGGAAAGATTGACTCATATCACACGAGAGGATAGTAGAAGTCTAAGCCCAGACAAACATTGTCACAAATAGTCGTATCTCCCATCTTCTTTTCTAAGAGTTCATTCATCTTTCTAGAAAACTTTGCTTCCCCCCGGATTGCCTATACCCACTCCCGCTTTCCCGATTAGGATAGTATGTAAACTCTCAAATCTCATAGATTTTTTTTGGTATTCATTGTTTTCCTATGATGTCCACATATTAGTATTAAAAATTAATAAATCTGTATACCTTTCTCTCTGTTAATCTGCCTACCAAACTGAGTAGGGTATATAGGAAAAGTCTTTTCTCCCTTACAAAACAGAGGTGTGCATTTCAGCATACATATAGGCAGAGTTGGGGGGGGGTGTCTTTTTTTTGCGTGTGA